GATCAACCCTGTGACGTAGGTTCACATGAGAAAATACTGTAGAAGCATATTGGCCAAGGTCACAAAGCTGGTAAGAAAGAACTGCAATTCAAATATGAGTCTGTGGGGCACCTGGGTAGTAGCTCAGTGGGTTAAGCAGCCGATTCTTGATTTTGGCTCAGGTCAGGATCTCACGGTCATGGGATCTCACGGGTCATGAGCCCCGTGTCTGGGCTCCGCGATGAGCATGGAGCCTGCTTGGGATTCTCCCTCTCTCTGCTCCTCTCCTGCTCTCACCCACACACGCACGCGTGCTCTCTCTCTCTCTCTCTCTCTCATTTCAAAATGAATAAGCTTAAAAAAAAAAGAACTATGAGTCTGTCAGGTCTTCTATAGCATACTGATATTTCTCCATTTATTATTAATGATCTGTGCTATCTTTTCAATTAAAAAAAAAAAGAAAGAAACATGGTCTCATCTACAAGTAGTAGAAACGCATCTAATTCTGCTTTAGCATACGCTCCGAAATGAACAGAAACAAGTATGCTCTGCTTGTCAGTCTACGTGGAAGGGAGTTGTTCGGAAGTAGTCTGTGCCTGGATTTCTGACATGAAGCCATAAATGCCCAAAGGGCATATCAAATCCATCATCATATTCAGTAAACCGAACATGACACTTGAACAGAATGAATCCCATCTGAGTAGATGCTGGTAAAAGAACGAAAAAAAAATTCTGACAACTTGGAAAGAGCTAGCATCTCAATCACCATATTAAAAAAAAAAAAAAAGGAGTAAGCCTATTATTGTTCCCTTGAAAATATTCTCCCAAATGCATTGTTCAACCTTAATTTCTTTCACAACTTCCACTGGCAATAAAGGAAAGAGGTGAAAAGTACAAACCATTAGAAAACAGCTGCAGCCAAAATCTGTCAAAATAAAAGGTCTCCTTTATCTTTGGGGGATATGAATTCCCTTTCTAGAATTTTCAAATAACTTATCTCCAATCAATGGTTTATGATTATAATGTAAGCCCATAAATTAAAGTGCTTTCATATCCTTTATCTTGTTGGGATCATAAATTCATTCAAATAGTTACAAAACATCCACAATATTACAGGCAACTGTGGATTCAAGGACAAGACATGATCCTGACAGATAAGAAACTCTAAAACAGGCACATCATTCCCATTTCACAGATAAGGAAACTAAGGCTCAAGTCCAAAGCAACTTGAAGTCAAAAGCCAGTAAATGGTGGGGCTGGAACTAGAATTAATGTATTCATTTAATAAAATGTATTGAACAGCCACTATTCCTCAGGTGGATATCTCACAGCTCAGTGGATAACCACAACCTCACTTATATCATTGCGCTACATTGTAATTTGTTCGTATCTCTAGACTACCAACAGTAGGGCAGGAGGGACTATGTTTTCTTATCTCTTATCTCTGTGTTCACATCTAACATAGTAGCCAGGTAATGGAAGTCAATAATTATTCGCCACACTGATTTCATTGCGAAAAATATTTGAGCTTCTACCATAAGCAGTACATTTTAAAGTGTAACATTGGGAAGCGCCTGGGTGGCTCAGTTGGTTAAGTGTCCAACTCCTGGTTTTGGCTCAGGTTACGATCTCCCAGTTTGTGAGTTTAGCTCTGTGCTGGGCTCCATGCTGACAGTGTAGAGCCTGCTTGGTGTTCTCTCTCCCTCTCTCCCACACACAATAAATAAAAACAACAAAAAAAAAAGTATAACGCTGGGGGCGCGTGGGTGGCTCAGTCGGTTAAGCATCCGACTCTTGATTTCAGCTCAGGTCATGATCTTGCAGTTCAGGAGATTGAGCCCCAGGTCAGGCTCCATGCTGACAAGGCTGAGCCTGCTTGGGATTCTCTCTCTGTCCCTCCCCTCCCCTTCAAAAATAAATAAACATTAGGAAAAAATGTTGAACAATCTGATCCCCAAATCTCATGTGCTAGTGGGGCAAAGGATAGTAGAAAAAAAAAGAACGTCATAAAAAGCTGCACTGACACTATGATAGTCGCTAGCCATGTTGCTGTTTTTTTTTTTTTTT